TAACCCGGGCCTGCCAAACAACAACAACTACTACCAAAAAAAAAAAAAAAAAAAAAAGCTGGGCATTGTGGCAGGTACCTGTAGTCCCAGCTACGTGGGAGACTGAGTCAAGAGAATTGCTTAAGCCCAAGAGTTTGAGGTTGCTGTGAGCTGTGACGCCATAGCACTCTACAGAGGGTGACACAGTAGTAGGTGCTGTCTCAAAAGAAAAAAAAAAAAAAAGGAAAGTAATGTGTTGCTCCATAATTGAAAAGGAAACATGAATATAATGAAGAAACCAATGAGAAAGAATGTCAATCGGAAAATAACTATGGAGAGTGCCTCAAAAATATATACACATTTTAAGAAAGGAAAAAACTGTATTGAAATTATAATACTCAATATATACCAGGACGGCACCTGTGGCTCAAAGGAGTAGGGCGCCAGCCCCATATACTGGAGGTGGCAGGTTCAAACCTGGCCCTGGCCAAAAAAAAATAACAACCCCCCCCCAAAAAAAACCCCATATATATGTAACAAAAGATGAATACAAGTCACATTAAGCACCTCTTATAATTGCAGACATCAAATGTGACTTGAACATTTCAAATGTTTCCTTTCTTAAAATGTGTATACATTTTTTGGCACTCTTTATATAATGAAGAACCAAATGGAAACTTTAGAATAGTGGTTCTCAACCTTCCTAATGCTGTGAACCTTTAATACAGTTCCTCATGACCATGGTTGGGGTGTCACCACAACATGAGGAATTGTATTAAAGAGGTTGAGAACCACTGCTTTAGAACTTAAAAATACAGAAAAGAAAATATAGAACCTTGTTTTAGACCAGGCATCCTCAAACTACGGCCCTCGGGCCACAAGCTGCCCACCTAGGACATTTATCCAGCCTGCCGGGTGTTTTTGCCGCCACTGCCTGTCCTACTTAGCAGCTGACTCATCTGGGGCCTGCAGTCCGGTCCTCCAACAGCCTGAGGGACAGTGAACTGGCTCCCTGTTTAAAAAGTTTAAAGACCCCTGTTTTAGACCCACAGGTACAAAGTCAAATACTTTTTGACCAACCCCAGATAAAATCAATGTCAAAAGGAAGTCTTTTAAAATGCACCTTGACCCATCCATCTCACCCATTCAAAAAACAAAAGTTAATTTAGGTACATTCTAAGACCTAGATGTAAATGCTAAAACTATAGAGCTTCTAGAAGAAAAAAGAGGACAATGTCTTTGCAAATATGGGTCAGGCAAAGATATCTTAGGCAGAATCCAGAAAGTTGTCATTATAGAAAAAAAACAAATGATGCAATGGATTTGATAATAATTTAACCCATTTTCCTGTGAACAGACAGAATTAAGAATATGCATAGGCAAGATGCAACTGGCAGAAAATATTCCTAATGCATAATATCTGACAAAGGACTTGTGTGTTCAAAGTATTTTAATAATTTTCACAACTCAGTAATTAAAAAAAAAAAACAGGCAAAAACTTGGAAAGACACGTGAACAGGCACTTCCTAAAGAAGACAGAGCAATAGCTAATAAGCACGTAAATAAGTGCTCAATAGTATTAGTCATCACAGAAATTCAAATTAATGCCACAGGGAGATACCAACAGAATGACTAAAAGTTCAATGTTGGCAATGCAAGATTTTTTTGGAGGGCCCTGAGAAACAGATACTGCTGATGGGAATAAAATTGTCACAATAGCTTTGCCAATCTGTATAAAGTTTTTTATAAAGTTAAATATAACACTATCCTATGGCTTAAGAATTCCAATCCTAAGGTATTTACCCAGGAGAAAAGAAAACAAATGTCACAATGCATGAATATAGGGCACACTTTCTGGGTGAAGGAAACAACTGTAACTTGGACTTTACCTTACAAATGCAAACAATATAACCTAATCATGTACACCCCCTCACATTAATGTGAAAAAATTTTAAATGTCCACAAGGAGGCTCATACAAGGATGTTCATATCAGCGTTAATCACACAATGACATCAGTAACACATGATGCTAGGAACCTTAAAAATGGGCAAGTGCTAGAAATGGATGTGAAAAATGGATGATGGGCTAGTAAGCACAGTTATTGGACTCATCAACTGGGGCCAACAAATGTCATTGCTGTTCTGTGTAAAAGCAATTTGTGCTCCACTCTGCCCTCTTCTCAATGCTTGTTTTATCCCTTAAAAAATTAAAAAAATTACCAGCCATCCAACACAAACACTCACACACAGTCACACACTGACAGTCTCTCATGCACATTAACACACATCTACACATATATTCACCCACTGTATGCACTCACACACACTCCCAAACTCATAGACATTACCATGCTCACACACACACACATGCACACTCATGCTCAAAAACACACACCTATATTCACTGACCTACTCACACATATTCAAACACCATCTCATTCTCACCCACATATTAATAAATAATAGAGTGACATGTATGCACATATATACACTAACACACATAAGCATACATGGGAACACCAACACACACATATTTCCTCATACTGGAAAACTAATACATGCTCACATTCAAAACCAAACACATTCATTAACATACATATTCACACACCATCTTGGACATTCAAACCTTCGCTGACATACACACTCACACTAATTGGATGCCCTCACTACAGCAGTCCCACAAGAGATCCTGGGGCTCTGGTCCTACAGGCTTTCCCTTGCTCTCCCCTTGAGGGGTCACCTACTTATCATTTAGAAGCTCCCTGAAGGCTCTGGGGACATAAACAGCCACAGCTCAACCGCACAAGCACTCTGTTGCCTAGCACCACCCAGCCTCCACAGTTGGATTCTTTTACCGGGTCTATAACCCACAATCCTGACTCCTGACCAGCACTTGCAGTTAGCCCACTGCATGGAATCACACAGAACCCAATCCCACTTCCCCAGTGTGAAATATGAAAAAGCCATTGTTGTCTCCTCACCCTCAACCCCATCCTATCCCAGTACACTTTTCCTTCCATAGCCCACATCAGAGGCAAGACTCAGCTGGAATATTTAATGCAATTTATTGAAGAGAAACATTTAGCACAACCACTGTAGAGACAGGAACAGCAACACAGACAGTAACTGCTAACCGCCACTAGAGGCCACGGGTCCCGGGTCCCACGATCTGCCCCTTGCCAGGATGCTAGACACTGGCAACAACCACTCACTTCAAGGAAGCCCTTTAGGGCCCACCCACTGGGACGTGGCCCTGCCCCATGGCCCACACGGGACAGTCACAGACACCAGAAATAACAGCAGGACACACCCCACCAAGTCAAGGAAACTGAGTCATAAGGGACAATAGGGGAGAGACATCAAAGCACAGTCCTCAGGGAGCCTTTCAAAGTCCCCATACTGGACCAGCTCCTCTCACCAAGGTGTGTGGGTGCACATCCCTGCCACCCTCCTCATCTGTCCTTCCTGTTGTCTCCTGGGAATGGGCTCAGGGTCTCCAGGGAGGAGCTGCTTGGGTAAGAACACACATCTGCACAAGGACGGGCAAGCGGTCAGCCTACATCTACATGGAGGAAGCAGAGGCTGAGCTCACGATACAGGATGGCAGCGAGCAGAGCTTGAGTTGGCACTTAAGCTCACAGAACATGCCCCAGGCTCAGAGGTGGCTGGCCCAACAGACAGGCCCCCAGGGCTGTAACACACACAGTGGCTTTGCATAAATTTGTTGGCTAGTGGCTAGGAAAGCGGGGTATATGTGCTGGACACCTGGATCACTACGGAGCCTACACAGATAAGGGGGGCTTCCTAGAACAGGGTAAAGCCTGCCCTGGGAACGGTGAATGGGGGGCCCCTCTTGGGAGGCCCAGACAGCCGGCACCTCTGAGTTGGCCTCTCTCCCAAAGGCCTCCAGGTCTACCTTGGGTGGCAGATGCCCTCACCCAGGCCATGGCTGGCTGCTCAGAGGTGCTTCCAGGTTGGCTGCCCAAGTTGGTAGGGTTTGGGGCTGGCCTTGACATTGGCAGCTGCTGAGTCGTGAAGGCCATGCCAGCCCCAGGTTCTCGTTGTCTGCTTGCTCCAGGCCTCTGCATAAACACAAGCTGAAAAAAATACCCCCCCCATCCTTCCCTCACCTCCCCCTCCCGTTACTCCTCCTCTTCCTCCTATTACCTTTTTCTTCAGTAAAATAGAGAATTTTCCCTCCTGTTACTTCTTCCTCTTGCTACTCCTCCTATTACTCCTCTTCCTCTTCCTCCTCCTGTTTTGGAACAAAGGCTTCCCTGCGCACCCACTGTGGTCTCTGCCAGGGCCCCTGCCAGGGCTCTTCCCCATAGTCTGCACAGCCCAGGCAGAAGACAGGAGAGCGCAACCACCCTAGGCTGGTGCTGGGCTCCCGGAGCCCTGGGGTCTCTTCCCTTCACTTGTGCAGGAGCCCCAGTGTGCTGCCTTCCTGGGGCTCCCCGAGCGTAGTGTAGATCATCCTGAAGACCGGCCACAGCCTGCAGCCTCCCCTGCAGGGCTGTGGCACTCTGCCTCGCAGCTCTTCCTCACAGGCCCTGACTCCTGGCAGGGGTGGCCCCAGCGCAGATGCCTCCAGATCCTGCAATGCTTGGGGGATGGTGACCCTCCTTAGGTCACAGCCCACAGGGTGGATGTTTAGAGGTGGCCAGATGGCCAGGCTGTCACCCAGGCCCAGGTCCCCAGCCACACCTTCTTCAGCCCATGCTTTTGGGGGGTTCCCATCCCAGGTCCAAGCACCCCAGGTGCTAAGCGCGGCAGCTCCCCAAATGCATTTCCTGCACCTCCTCCAGGCCCTGAGCCCAGCCCTCACGGAGTCATGTGTGGTTTGGCCTTGGTTGCTGGAGTCCCCTTCAGCTACAGGTAGGTGAGGGGGCTCAGCCTGGGCCTGGCTGCCCTGGCCCCATGTGCCAGGCAAGGACCCTGCAGTTTGCATGGGCTGCCCCTTCCCTGCCTTCCAATATTTCTTTTGTCTCCTTGGCCTGTGGTAGAAAGTGATGTCTTGGCCTGAGCCTACTTGGCCTTGGACTTGGGATGGCTCTTGTCCCAAGCCCATTTCCCGTTTCCCGATTCACTTGCAGTCTGTCTCTTCTGCTTTACCAAGGGCTGGTTGGAGGGGTTGAAACACTCTACCCTGATATGGCCATCTTCCCCACAGCCATAGCAGAATGTGTGGCGTTTCCGTTTTCTTGAGCCTCGAGAGCCAGCCCTGGACACACCCCCTCTTCCGTGTTGTCCTCTGCCCCTCCGGCGCCGGGCACCCTGGGAAAGCTTTGCCTCAAAACTGTTGCTCAAGGCAGGGACAGATAGTGCCCCAACTGCACTGACTCCTGATGGCCTTGGGCCTACTTCCAGCCCTTCCAACCTTGCCCTATCTGGACCTAAAGTGGCCTCCCACTCCTCCTCCTCACGTAGGAGCTTCACCAGTGCCAGAAAACCAGGAGGCTTTCTTCGTTGTTTCATCAGCTTAAGCTTGTCTCGGAGTTTGTCAGGGAGGGTGGCCCCACTCAAGACCTGTTTCAGGCGAGTCTGATTCACATTCCTTCGTGACACTGCATTTTTTTCTACAGCTTTTTGGAGCAGGGGTTCTAAGCGTATCACAAAACTAGAGACTTTCTCTCCTGCCTCCTGATAGGCCTTACAGAACTTCACCTGGGCGATCTTACGACTCTCCACAGGTCCAAACACCTGCTGCAGGGCTGCCAAGCACTCCTCCACAGTGATGGCAGCATTGCCAGCCCGGAGCCCGCTGATCACCTGTAGAGCAGGGCCCCTCAGGCACTCCATCAGCCGCCGTCGCTTTTCCCCCTCAGGCACCTGCCACATCTGTAACATGTCAGTGGTGTGCTCAAGCCAGGCATCAAAGGCCAGTGCCCCCGGGATGGATATGGTGTTCCCAGAAAACACTCTTAGTTCTCGGTACAACATTTGTTCTAGCAGAGGCTGCACTGCTGCCCCCAGGGTCTGGGCCCAGGTCCATAAATCTGGTGATATAGTCACTCTCGGAGCCAAGAAGTTTGTGTCTGACTGGAGAACTCTGTTCATGTCTGATACAGACCGCCTCTCCTCCTCTAAGAAGCGGTTCAGTCTACTGAGAAATTCGCCATCTGAGTTAAGGGGTTTTACAATCACTTCCCAGGGCCCCCCTTTTCCTGGTATTTCTCTGGGGACCAAAGAATAGTCAATATCTTGCGCAAGCTCCAGCAGAAATGCTTGGGCGTTCTCCTCCCTCCTGAACATCCTGCCAATTACCCTATATCTGCCCAGGGCCCTAAAAGACTCCTGGAAAGTCTCCTCAAACTCATCCTCGCTGCAGTCCTCAGGAATCCCCAGGATGAGCATGCACCGCTGGGTGTCCAGATGTTCCCCCCTACACCAGTCCTGCAACAGGGTCAACGGCATTTCCCCAAATCTCTGCGGGTTTGAACTTAAGGGGGAGTGATCAAGGAACACAAATCCGGGCCACCTCCAGATCGGGTGCAGAAGGCCCAGGTCTCCACAGCCTGTGAATGCGAACGGGGCAAGAGCAAGGTTAATGCCCACCCCCATCACCACCCCCACCCCCACCTTGGCCGCCTTGCACCCCGGCACTGACCCCTTCGACCCAGGCCCGCCGGTCTCCGCGGGCAACAGCCCCCTCCCCGCACCGCCCGTCGCCCCCCGTCCACCGCCCCATGGGCTGCCGCAGTCCTGCTCTGGCGCACCGAGGGCGGCGGAGCCTTCTGGGACCCAGCGCCCCCTCCCTGGGGCTGGTACCTCCTCCTGGGACAGGGGTCCTTTCTGGTCCAGGTCTCAGCGACAGGGGCTCCGGGGCGGCACGGAGCTGCGACGGGGTCGGCGGCCCTGAGCCCCGCTCTCCCTCGCTTGCTCTGCCGCTCCCTCTCGCTCTCCCCGCGAGGCACGTGGGCCAGTGCGCCGGCGCCTGCTCGCCACCGCTCTCTGCAGTGCGGACGCGGGGCGGGGGCGCGGCGGAGGCGGCGGCGAAGCACAGACCCTTCGCGTCGCCCGGGAGACCGCCGGGCCATTGGCGCGCGTCGGTCACGCGACCAGGCTGCTGCTGCTCCCCCTCCTCCTCCCCCTCCCCCCCGCGCCCCACGACCGCTGGTGACGTCACCTGCTCCTCTATCCGCCCCCAGGGGCTCCTGCCACAGGTGCCCCCCTCAGTGGGGAAGAGTCCGTGCCCAAGAGTCCCTGTGCCTTTGGCTCTCCCCGTGTGATCCCCACCCACACCCAGCCCCCTCCCCCACCGCTCCTTGGCGTGCCCTCGGGTTTCAGCGGGGTGAGGGGCTCTGCACCCCGGGGGGCCCACCAGAGAGCAGTGTGAGGGTCCCAAAGTGTTCCTGCCAGTGCTACCTTCTTGCCAGGTGTGGTTGGGGAGGGCTCTGGGGCTTCTTGGTCTGCTCACCCCTCCCCCCCCTACCTAGGGACTGCTCCTGCCAGCTTAGGCTAGGGGAGGCAGGGAGCACGTGGTCCAGGTAGGAGTCCCTGGAGTAGATGCCACAGGCACTGATGTGGGCTCACGCCCTCCATCCCCTGGCCCAGTCGCTGCCCATCGGGCTCCAAGGGACCACAGGCCTTGGCCACAGTGGGCACACCACCGGCCTGCGTGCTTCTCTTTGCTGCCCCAGTGCCGGTGGCCAGGCCCACGGACAGCAAGTTCATGCTTAGATTTGCCGAGTCCTTTCCTGTTTGGGGAGATGCAAATCCAGAGTCTTGGGAAACTGCTGCCAGGATTTGGATCTCAAGCCTTTAGGCCTGCCCTTCCCTTGCAGCTGTGACTAGGGATCATGGCTGTATCAGTTGATTCACACCGTAGTAGCTGAAGGAGGGATGGAGTGACTGTCCTTGAGGCAGCATGCGTGGGGTGTTCTCCCTGCTCCTGCCTGCTCTGCCAGTTACATGCTGGCCTCCGGTGGGCAGGGCTCCAGCCCTTCTCCAGGCACACAAAAGAGGGCTTGTGGTTGGAGCTCAGCCAGGGCTCGCCCATCCAGCCAGGTCTAGGAAGACACCTTGTATGTCTGTCGGTGAGGCAAACAACTGTCTGCTGTCTTCCCACCTCACCCTACCCTGTGGTTATCGACATTCTACTTGTCAGGCTGCCAGTTGTCAGGGTTGAAAAAGAAATGACTCTTTAGGACCTTTCCCTTGTCAGACTAGATTCCTAAAATGTCTTCCTGGTAGTTATTTCATTTACTCATCACCAGAACTCTATGAGGTAGGGAGTAGCATTATCCTGGCTTAATTCATGAGGCTCAGAGACGTTAAGAGACAACCTCAAGGTACCACACTTTATTGCAGGTAGAGTTGAAACTGGATCCTAAATTGGTACCCATCACTCTGACTGGAATGGGGACCATTTCTCCCCTGTTACTTTATCTTTATGAGAATGTATCTACCACGTTTCTGGGCAGTCACAGTCCCTGTGAGAAGGAGAAAAATTTACTGATGAGGGAGCTAGTTCTCAACTTTCAACTTTGTTGGTTTCCTTCCACTCAGTTATGCAGGAAACTGGCAAAATTGTCTTACTTTGAAAGTAAGACGTGATGTGTGGAATGGCACCTTGTCAGAGTGCTTCAAAAGTTGTGTTATGTGTGTGTTTTCCCTGAAAACATTTAGGAGGTTATTAAGAATCCATCTCTCTCATAAAACACTTAGTTGCCAGTTTTCAAATCAGCTTTGTGTGCTCCTAGAAAGGGCAATGAAATAGAATGGCCATCTGGAGGCCCATTCCTGGTCCCAGCTTTGCCCCTTTGGGTGCTCAACCAGCCCCCTAATCAAACGTTCATCTACTCAACTTACAGGGACAGAAACAGGCTCAGAGAAGGGACACTATGGCCTAAGATCACACAGTGAATAAATAAGTGAGTCAAAGGTGTGCAGTGTAAAGGGACGATGCCAAGTGGTAATGCCAAAGCAGAGGGGAATGTCTGGAATGTCTCTGGGGATAAGCCATCTGCAGTGATCTAGGGATGTTTTGGACATCAGGAAAATAGATTTAGAAACACTTGGATCAAGGCTATGGATTTTGATCTGTTCACTTTGAAATGTTCATGAACCCTTTTGTGTTGAAGTTAACCTTTGGCCTTACAGCCAGTGGAAGTATCTTATTTGCTTTTGTGTCTGTATCCCCTTGCATGGGAGCTAGCACAAAAGCACCAAAGTTCAGGAAATGATGAATAAATAAATGTCACTTGTAAGGTGAAAAGTGTAATACAGTGTGAAAGAGGCAACCTGCCCTGAGGTGGCCTTGCTTGGGCTTAGACCAAGAGTCTATCAGGGTAAGGTGCCTTGGCCCCACCTCTGGAGAGTCTGAGACAGGCCTGGGAATCTCTTAAAAGAGTTTCTGGGAATCAAATACTTTAAAAAGTACATTCTGCAATATTTAAAAGGTATTTAAAATGTGCCACCAATACTCCTATACCTAGTATCCGGATTAAGACATGAAACAATGCTGGCAAAGTTGGCACTCTGTGCACCCTGCCCAGCCGGACTTTACTCTGTCCCCCATAGAGGGAAGCACCACTCTGCACTTGCATTTCCCTGTGCATTTACTGTGAATGAATATACCCTTAAACAGCTGGAGTATCATATCCACCTGTTTTAAACTTTTTATAAATGGCATCATATTCTTCATATTCATCCATTTTATTAACTAATCATTATGTTTGTGAAAATCACCTTGTGATACCTGCAAATTCGGATCACCAGTTTTCACTTCAGTTATATTATGTGTATGTACCAAAATTTCACTTCATTATATTATGTGTATGTACCAAAATTTATTTCTCAGTTTTCCCATTGATAGTTGTTTCTCATTTTTTTTTATCGAATGATAACTATGTACATTAATGCACTTCTGGGATACAGTGTGGTGTTTTCACACACAATCTGAAACACTTAAACAATGCTGCTGTAAATATTCTTGGAGAGTTCCTATAGTTTACATACCTAGTGGTGGCATTGTTGGGTTAAAGACTATCCTCAGTTTTAAAAGGTATTGCCAAATTCTCTTCTGGGTTGCTATAGCAATGTATACCTCCGTCAAGTGTGATATCATCACCAACATTTCATTTTATATGACTTAAAGGTTAACTCTGAGTGATGTCAGTTATTGTTGTGCTTTTATGTAGGATTGCTATGATTGCGAATAAGATGTAATACCTTGGTTAGAAGACATTTTTATGATCCTTCTCTTTTTAAATTCCTATTTTTTCCCCAATTCTCAATTATGGAATGCTCTCTTTTTTTGTTCTTTCATAGAAGTCCTTTATTTAGTCTGGATATTTCTTTCCATTAGGTTGCAATTCCTGTGTGACCAATTATCCAAAGCATACTAGCTTAAAACAAGTATTTAATTCTGTGCATAATTTGTGAGTCAGAAAATTGGGGAAAGTCTAGCTGGGCAATTAACTCTTGGGATCTCTCATGTGGTTGCAGTCAGAGGTAGACTGAAAATCTAATGATCTAAAGGCTCCATGGGGCTGGACATCCAAGGCAGTCTACTCTTATGGCCAGCATTAAGTCACATTTTTGGTATTTACACCCAAAAGGATTATAATTTTTATAGATGCTCAGATAACAATAGCTCCTCTGAATCACCATTCTTGGATAAGTGAGTTGTTTTAATTTGGACTTTAAGAAATTTGTATAGTGGCTCAGCCTGTGGCTCAAGTGGCTAAGGCGCCAGCCACATACACCTAAGGTGGCGAGTTCAAATCCAGCCCAGGACTGCCAAAACAAAAATGACAGCTGCAACCAAAAAATAAGCCAGGCATTGTGGTGGGTGCCTGTGGTCCCAGCTACTTGGGAGGCTGAGGCAGGAGACTCGCTTGAACCCAAGAGTTGGAGGTTGCTGTGAGCTGTGATGCCATGGCACTCTACCCATGGGGAAAGCTTGAGGCTCTGCCTCAAAAAAAAAAAGAAAGAAAGAAAGAAATTTATGTGGGAAAATACATAGATGGGCAGAAATTACTTCTCTTAATTTAAGATTATTATGGATTGAATTGTGCTCCCCCCCAATTCATATGGTGAATCCCTAATCCCCAGTACCTCAGAATGTGACCTTATTTGGAAATAGGGTTATTGCATATGTAATTAGTTAAGTTAGCATGAAGTCATACAGGAGTAGGGTAGGCTCCTAATCCAGTAGGATAGACGTCCTCATGAAAAGGAGAAATCAGCCTGGGCAACATAGTGAGACACCATCTCTATATAAAAAAAAATCATCCTGTACAGTGTTGGGTGCCTATAGTCCTAGCTACTCAGGAGGCTATGTAGGGAGGATCACTTGAGCCCAGGAGTTTGAGGCTGCAGTGAACTATGTCACACCACTGCACTCCAGCCTGGGCAACAGAGTAAGTCTGTCTCTAAAAAGAGGGATTCGAACACAGAAACATGCACACAAGGAGAACACCATGTGCCGGGTGATGATGTAGGCAGAGATTGAAATGAGCTTCTACAAGCCAAGAAATCACAAAGATTGCCAGTAAAGTGCTACAAACCAGGCAAGAACCTGAACAGACTCTCTCTGTCTCACCGCTCTCAGAAGCAATCAACCCAGCTAATACCTCAATTTCAGGCTTCTAGCCTTCAGAATGGTGAGACAGTACATTTCTGTCGCTTTAACTACCTAGTATGAAACTTTGGTACAGCAGCCCTAGAAAACTAAAAGATTAAACCACAAATCCGCTAAAGGTAAAATGCTGACAGGTTTCTGAAATCAAATTGGGAATGAATGGCATCAGTAATAATGAGGCTATGA